CCCCCCCCCCCAGCCGGTACCTCAGGAGCTGCTTGGCCGCTGCCAGGCTGACCCAGAGCGGCGGAGGCAGGAGGAGCAAGAAGCAGCAGCAGCAGCAGCAATGCACAAAGCCAAGGAGAGTCCGCATCTTCCTCATCTTCCTCGCACCGAACCCCCCCCTCCCCTCACTCCCACCTGCCCCCCAGTAAACTCCCCTGATAAGCCAACAGAGCGGCTGAGCGTCCGGGTGATCAGTTATAAAATCCTTCTGTTCCTGGAAACTTATTGTCTCATGGCTGGTGCAATTGGTGGTCAAAACCCTGCTGCTGGCTCCTCTGCTGCTCTCCCTGCCTTCCAGTTGCGATATACTTACAGTTCACGGGACAGCGTATTTTGCTTTTTAAAGATTCATCTCGGTAGATAGGATGGGATTTTCCTCCTCCTCCCCTTCTCCTCCTCCTCCTCTCTGATTTTACTGTAATCACTTTGCAAGGTTTGCAATAAAAGCAGGAGTAGCACTGTGCGATTCGAAGCCCCCCAGGTCGTCTTCTTCGACACTAGAGTTAACTACAATTCACACACACTCTCTCTCTCTCTTTTCTCTCTCTCTCTCTCAGCCGTTTACGACCAAGGCATTAGCTTTATTCTTCCCCCTCTCTGCACACACAGGGGAAAAAAAAATGTGATTCGCTTTATTCAAAGGGCTTGTGTCCGGGAAAACTCCAAATCCTCTTAGCAATGGGCAGTTCTTTAAAAAAAAATAATTTAAAAAGGTAAAGAAAAAATAAAAATCCCAATAATGTCGGTAGCTGCACAATTGACAGGAGAAGAACCCCGTGTATTACAGAGCAGTCCACAGAATATCCCCTTTGGTTGGCAGAAAAGCACCCAAATCCATCTTCAGAGATCGCCTAAAATGTTCAGCTCTTACACCGGAGCAGATTTTTTTTTAACAACTCTGCGCAAGGTCATTAGTCACAAAGCAACGATACAGAAACTGCAGAAGCCGTTTTACCAGAATTTGCAAGGCTGTAGATATGAACATACACACACAACAGTCCCAAGTTTGTTTTTGCATCCGCAGTTTGTGTGTGTGCCTTACCTGCATTTGCACTGCATGTGTTATAGCAATCTGGATCTGCAGCACTGAGAGCGATTCACAAATGAGATTGCAGTCTCTCTCTCTCTCTCTCTCTCCCCCTCTCTCTCTCTCTCCTCTTCCTTCCCGTCCCAATGCAGGTAACCAGATCTGAACTTGATCCTTTCAGTTCAAAGGTTAGCAACAAAACTATGTGTCCAAAGGCGATTATTGGTCTCTCGTAAATATACCCGGAGCGGAACAAGATGTAACTGGATCCCCCACGTGAATTAACACAGATTCTGAATTACATCCATATAAGCGGAATGGCAAAGGGGAGGGGAAAAGATCCGCGACGCGATTTAAAAAAAAAAAAAAAAACAAAACCAAAAAAAACCCCAATAGAGTTCTATTTGCAAATAAAATTATATCAGTCAGTTGTTTCCTGTGATCTGCACCGCCACGGTGGGTGAAATCTGCAATTGTGTATTCCCTCCTGTGTCTTTCAGAGAAGTGTGGCTCAGGCGCTTTCACGGCAGAGCGGCTTGTGCTTTAAAATGTTGAATGGCAACTGAGAAGCTTTACTGGGAAAAAAAAAAAAAAAAAAAAGAAGCAGTAAACCGGCAAGTTTGCCCAAAGTGGTGGGAGCTGCTGAAGCCTCTCTCGGTAGCTCTTCCCTGACGCTGCAGCAGCAGAGCCGCCTGCCCTACATACACACAGAAAGAGAGAGGGAGAGAGAGAAAGAGGGAGAGCAAAGAGCGAGCGAGAGTGAGAGAGGGAGGGAGGGAGGAGGAGGAAGTAGGGAGGAAGGGAGGGAGGGAGGGAGGAGGAGGAAGAGGAGGAGGAGGGAGAACGAGTCAAGCGCTGCACTCCAGAAAGCCCAGCCTTACCCTCTGTCTTTGCTGCTGCTAGTGCTGCAAGTGGGATAGCTGCTGATCACAAAACACCAGTTCAGTCCTCAAAACCGATCCTCATTACACGCCTGAGTGTTGCTGCTGTTGCCTTCTCTAACCCGTGATCTGTAGTGATTCTCTCCTACCCTCTTCCCCCCACCTCCGCTGTAGACTGTGAACCGAGCAACGATTTTTAAAGCAAATATTTATTCGCCTTTCTTTTAGGCAGAGCTGGTGCACGTTCGGGGCTCTGCATTTTGCGGAATCACGCTGGTAAGAAAACTCGTTTCGCACAGATTCCCACCTTCCCCTGTCGTGTCGGTGCTTTTGTGAAATAGCTGCAGTCACTGTAACTGCATAAAACTCCAGGGAGGAAGGGGGGATGCCTTAGATCTCAGACTTTCGTCCTGTTTCCCAGTGCTGTTTGAGTCTTTTGGTCTTTGTGTTCATGTTCTTTCTATTACCATGATTTGAATGTGCCTTTTCAGCGTGTTTGTGGGTTTCCTAGGAGAGGGAAAAAAAAAAAAAAATCCCTCGGAGAAGATGATCAGGAAGGGGGCGAGAGGGTTAGTAGAATAAACACATGTAAGTAACAGATTTATTTCCGAATAGAGACTTGCTGCTTCGACGATTGCTAAAATGTAGCGTCACCTACCTGGGTAAGTGGGAAATAAACTTTAACGTTAAAGCTCTCCGCTCAACTTTGTTTATTCTAGCGTCCCTAGTTCGCTTCTCCTTTTGACTTTGTGCCATTTAATCGCCTATGGCGTTTGCGTGCCCCTGCCCCTGCGCCCTGGGTGATGCCGGGCTCCTGTACCTGTCCTCTCCATTCAGATCCCGGAGGGAAAAGAGGGAGACTCCGGTAGGCTGGCAGGAGAGAGAGGACGTGGGCGAGCATGGGGCAGCCAGTGGGAAGAGAACCGGCGTGTGTGTGTGTGTGTGTGCGCGCAGCGAGGGGGAGGCAGGGATCCAGCTGCTCTCTCTCCCCCTGTGAACATATGTGGGAAAACAAGTTGTTGCGGGTTCTGTGTGTGCGTGTGTGCATTCCTCGTTTTAAATGGTTAATTTGAATAAAGGCGCATGCAGGCGAATGTAGTGAAATGCCTCTCTTTCATCGCGATGACATGTTTGAGCGAAAAGCGGCCGGATATGTTGAGGTGGTTCAAAGCAACGGTCACAGCATGTCTTTGTCATTTGGGGCGGCGAGTGAATGTGGGAGGGAGGGAAGGTTGTCACCTCTTTCCTCGGGGAGACCAGAGGCACAGAGGGGCAGAGCCGTGCCGCGTGGAATCGGCGCTGGGGAGTGAGTGACTGCTGCTCTCTCCGGAGCGCTGCAGGGCTGCTGCTCCGGCGGCGGCCCCGGCCGCTCTCCCTGCCTCGCCAGAACGCGAAAACCCTCCCCCGCCGATGCTGGAGACACTCGGCTTTATATCTGCAGCATCAGCGAGAAAGCCCGGCTCGGGCAGTCCCGGGCGGAGGAGGGGGGCTCGGGAGCTCAGCATCTTCGCAGCGGGTTAAGTAGGATTAATACCAAATCCCTATTACATTTGCCAAGCAACTTGAATTTATCAAAATTCCCCCTCGCTGTTCTGGAGCTCCGAGAGGAGGAAATTTTGCCCACAGTGTAAGATCCAGACATACCAGTACGTAGGAATACCAGTATACTGCATTACACTGGCTCCCTGCACTAGCAATACAACTGCAACCCGAAGCTCCCGCTGTTCCCTTCCCTTTGTGCTTTTAAACGCAGCCAGGAAACTTAATGTATTCGCCAGGGGAGGGGCGGGATGAAAGCGCTTTCCACCCCCCCCGCCATAAACTTTAATCGGATTCTGGGCTGTTGCACGGCATGGACACCTCGCCTCTTGTCTGCGTCTCCTTCCCCGTTGCCTCCCATGGCTACTTTACTACGGTCTGCTTTGCGAGAGCCTCTTTCAAGCGAATGAGTGATTTCTTTCTCTTGCCATGTGCAATCGCTCCCCCCTTCCCTTCCTACCCTCGCTGGCCTCTCTTACACACACTATGCCTTTCACATGCGGTCTGCGCCCCCCGGCCCCCCTCCCTTTCTTTCTTTTTTGCAGTGTCTTCACATGCAATCTCTGAATGTGCAATGTCTTTCCTGCTCGGGAGTGCTGCGTCCTTCACAGTGGATTGGTTCCTCTTTCGGAGCAGAGGTAA